AGCACCTGGATAATGAATAATCAAAGCCTGGAAAGGCAGGATGCCTCCCAAGACCTGAGCAGCCCATCTCTGTGTTCTCTTCCTAACCCACCCTGGAATCAAATAGAAAAGAGCACAGCCTACCTGCTCAGGGGAAGGAATTCCCCACAAGACTTCCTGGATATATCAGCTACTACAGGGGGACAGAGGATTTTACCCATAGTTTTGACTCTCCTTGGAGGAGTCCTTTGGGGAGATGATGCCCATATCAATTATAGCTGGTTATTCTCCACCCCCTGGAAACTGGGAAATGTGCCCACACCCAAACTCAGCTAATCTGATGCTTCCACCTGGGACTTTGAGTCTTAAAAGAATGATGCAAGTACAGGAGGTCAGCTGAGAAATTACTTGTGGCAGTAGAAGCTGGAGTCTGGCAGCAGCAGGAGTCAAGTGGTCATCCTAACTGGGAAGTTCCTGGGGCAGGACCATGGCTATATCCCCACCACCCAGCCCACCTTGGATCTTGCTCATGGGAACCCCAGGCTCTTACTGTTTTTCTGCTTGGCAATTCTCAGCATGTGGCTTCCATCCTTGCAGTGGCTTCATTGTCCCAAGATGGCAGCTGACCTCTAGCCATCATAGCTGTATTCCAGGCACAAGAAAAAGAAGAGTCAAAGGGCAAAAAGGCCTATCTCCCAGCTGAATAAGCTCCTTTTAAAGAGCTTTCCTGGAAGCCCCACATAACTATCTTTTTTTCCTTACATCTAACTGGCCATGTCTATCTACAAGGGAGACTGGGAAATATAGTAGTTGGGGCACACTGGCACCACCAGCAGTATACGTGTTACATATATGTATGTAAACATTTACATATATATATGTGTGTAAAACTAAGGTGTAAAGGGAATAAACTTAAGGGGAAGTAATAAAAAGGACATCAATCTGGGCAAGATAGCAGAGCAAGTTTGAGCATTGTCTTCAATCATGTAGCAAAGAAAGATAAAATTTGTAAAAAGATAACTAAAAAGAGACACTCAAAAAGCAAGGTAAACTTATCTATGGACCAAAAATGAGCAGAAACAGTGTGAGTGGTTAGAAGAAACAGCCTCATGGGTTCTAGCTCTGGAAGTGAGCGTGGGGTGCTGGGAAGTCAGTTCTGGGGTGAAAGGACACTTGAAGGACTGCTGGTGAGTAAAGGACCCAAGGCAGGCTCACTGGATAAAGTGGATCTGGGACCAAGAACCAGCACATGCTGCTGGGGACCGTGGATCACAAGAGGGCTGAGGACCAAGGGAGGTGGGTGAAGGGGACTGAGAGCCAAATTCCTGACCAGGATCCCAGCACAGCCACATGCTGCCTCCTCCCTGGGTCTGCAAAATGTGTTATCATGGAACAGCATCTCAGAGCACTAGTGTATCTCTTGGTTACCATGGAGGTAGCCAACAACTGTTGGACTTCTGGACAGGCAGAGAGAGAGAATGAAACCCAAACACTGGTCAAAGAAGTAAAAACCTTCCAACTCAAAATGAGCCTGCCTGCAAAGTGAGCTTTCAAAATATGAAGAAATCTAATGCCAAGAAAAGCAGTCAACAAATTTCCCGATCAAAGCATGATAGAAATTAAGCTTAGGAATACTATGGCAAGAACCTACATAAGTTTGTCCGGGACAGCCAAAGATATACATGAAGACATAATTTCAAATTTTAAAGTAAAATTAACCAGAACTACAGTTTCCTGGCATCAGGCATGGTTAGTGGCATCAACACTTCCCTCTGTGTCTGAAGGTAGAACCAAGACCCTGTTCCTCCCTGATGCAGTTTGTGCCTGAAGAGCATTCACTTATGGCCCTGAGATGTTGGCTGTCTCCAGCCACGTTCCCTTTTTACCTTCTGACTTTCACCACAGTTCTGCTCTTTCATGTCCAACCTCTCATATTTTCTACTCTACCAGTTTCTCCCTGGACCAGAGACCTGAAGCTGTCCATCCTCTTGCTCAAATCAGACTGATGTACTGCTGTCCTCCTGGGCAGCTCTTTCTCCTAAACTGACTCCACTATTTTCTATACCCCAAATCTTCCACTTTCTTGGTTCTTTCATTTTTTGACATGCCTCTTAAGAATGGCTAATGGATGGCAAACTTTCTGAATTCTTGCATGTCTAAAAATACAATAATTTATTCTCATAACTAGGATAGCTTGGCTAGATACAGAATTCCAAATGGAAAATTATTTTTTCCTTGGGGGGAGGGGAGAATCAATCTAGTAGCATTGAGCACCCCAGCAACCAAACTGTGGTTCCTAAATTATCATTTCCCACTAAAGGAATACAGGCTCCTTGAAGAACTGGCTAATTACAGATTTGGGAAAGGAAATTTTCAAGGTAAGCCTGGGACATCTTGTCATACCGGGAAATAAGGAAGCCATTAACTTGAACTGGGGAAGAGGTATTTCATAGCCACAGCAACAGAAATACCTTAATAAAGGCTGTTTTTTAAATGACCTGTTTACATGTCAAAAAAATGCACACCATTCACTTCTCTGTAAAATGAAGAAACAAAGCAAGGATTAAAATGACTTTTGATGCCCTGTGTTGATGAGGCCATGGGCCACCAGCACTTCCTCACTGCACTGGGAGACTATGTTGTTACTGGACTGCAATTAGCCTTTCTTGGTGGCAATTCTGCTATCTCCAAAATTTTAAATATGCATGTGCTTTGACCCAGCAACATCACTTTTAACAGATCTACATTACTAATATTTTTTACATTAATATTAAAATATTAACATTTAAAATACCTTTAAAATATTAAAGATCTATATAACTGCATGGATATATGTACAAGAACCTACATTCAGCATTGTTTGTAATAATGAGAAGTTGGAAACAACCATATACCCACTGAAAGAGGAATAGGTACATAGATTATGGTACACCCACAAGAGAAAATGGTATTCTGGAGCAGTTAAAATAAGTGAAGTAGCTCTGGCAGGTAGGAAGGAATGTCCTACTATATTAAGTGAAAAAAAGCAAGTTGAAAAAGTTTATGTGAAGTATGTCACTAGTTTTAAAACATTTCCTTGTGCATGGGAAAGATGTGCCTCCACACCTCCTGCAGCAGCTGGGGCACCTGATGGCTGGATGTGGGACTCTCCAGGAGATGAAAAGTGTGTATTCTACATGTTTTTATACTGTCAGAATTGTTACCACTAGCATGTATTTTATAGTCAAGAACAAAATTAAATAATGAACATGAATCATAAAGCTTTATTTAATAAATATAACCAAAAATTTCAAAATACTTTATTCCATACGTAGCCAATTAGAGAAAGAAAAAAGAGGAGGAAATGTTTGAAGAGATTAAGTGAAAGGGTCAGGAGAAAGAAGGTTAGGGAAATTCAAGCAATGGAGAAAAAGGAAAATACCAAAGGTGGGTGAGGCAGAGGGGTGCTCAGGGCTTCGTGACTCTCTAAGTACCACCTTTCATGGGTCACATCTCAGGGGTCACTGGGGTCTTCCACTCTTCCTTGGCACTGATGGGAGATGCTAAATTGACATTTGGGTAATGAATCAGGACTCCAAAAATTCAGATGTCCTCTCAAAATCATGAAGGCTTTGTTTCTTTTCTACAACCATCAGGATTGGATTTTTTCCCCCTAGAATAAAGTATTTGACTGGACAACTGTTAGCTCTGTCAGGGAGTAATTTAGGTTTTCTGGATACTTTGAGTTCCTCCAGGCCATCCATTTAAAACTAGGTCTTAACATCCATCTGACACTCAAAGCCTGTTATTTTTTTTTTAATGAAATACTGGTTTCTGTTCTGATGCCTCCAAATCACACTCAAAAAGAAAATTTACTTCATAGTTTATATTTCTCTAATCCATGGGGAAAGGATGGGAAGGTCAGATCTGGTCACGGGGACACCACGTGGAAAGAATACAGTTAATAAATTAGTTCAGAGGAGACGAAAGGTTTGTGACTCATGTCTGGACCACCAGGAAGGGAACCTGGCCCCTCTCTTTCAACCACAGAAAGGCAGGACTGAACAATCCTAAACACAGTAATGTCCCAAGATAGGTATGTGTTATAAGGAATATGTGGCAGTGCAGGGGGCCCACTGGGGACTCCCAGAAAGATTTGGTGGACACAGGCAGCAGGGACCAAAGCTGGTTTGGGCTGACTCCTCATAGCCCAGTTCTAGTTTCTGTAAAGAGAAACTCCTGAAAACATGTTTGCAGAAACAAGACGGGCCTGGGCCTTGCAGAGCCTCCCTGAGGGCACCGAGGAGCTGCAACAACATGAGGCCAGTCAGAAAGCTCATTTCTCCACTCTTTATTAAAGCTAGGTCCTCCTGCCGACAGCTTCAGGGCAGGTCAGAAGAAGCTGGGGCCCAGGAGGGGCACCAAAGGTATACACCCAAGGAGCATGCGGGGAGAGACAGGCACAGAGCCGGCCTCCCATACAGCCTGCTCACCCTGCCCTGGGCCCTATTGAGGCTCATGTCCCACAGGGAAAGGAGGGGCACCGAGGGCAGAGAAGGCACCACCCAGCACTACTGATGCCTCCCCAGGGACTCCTGCCCTCCTCACCCCCCACCCCACCCCACCCTACCACCTCACCCTGCCAGGCTAATGCTTCCCACCACCATCCAGGCCTTCTTCCCACCCACCAACTACTGCGCCTCCTACCCCAGCCCCAGTCCCTAGCAGCCTGGTTGCTGGCTCTCAGGCCCCAAGGCCATGTCTACACTAAAACAGAAGGAACTAGGTCTAAAAGGGAATGCAGTTGCTTAAACATATCAGTTTTCTGGCCCCATTCACACTGGCCCAAAAGGCATTAAAGGAGAGGAATCTCACTTGAGCTGTGCCTCAGCTACCTGCCAGGTGGCTCCCCACCACCCCACTGAGGGTGGGGTGCCTGCCAGGTGCAGGCCTTGCATAGCAGGGTGCTTGGTTGGTGAGTTTTTGAGCCTCTGACTCAGATTCACACCCCTGGAGGTGGGCTGCCACTGTGCAGACTGCCGGCCCTGTGTAATGGGGCTCAAAACAGAAACATGACTTGCTTCTAGGGTAGAACAATGACAGAAGCAGTGTGTCACAGGGCCCTAATTATGGGACATAAGGGATGATCCTGCTACCAACCTCAGTCCCTTTACATTTGGTGTTAAATCTGAAGTCGTCAGGCTCAGAAGGGCAGGGCCCCATGTGCCCACCTCCTCCAGGAGAGGTGGCACCGCAGGGAGCTGATGACTGGGGCCCGGGGCTGCAGGAGCCTGCCAGTGTGCCCCAAGGATCTCTGAGTTTGCCACCTCCAGCTGCCCAAGTGAGTACACAGCACTCGATGGGGAGGCTGAGATTAAAACCCAGCAGGCTAACTAGAGCCTGGCTGATCTCGATGCTCCAAGGCGGTGAGAAGAACAAGGGATCCCCGAGGTTAAGGCTTCAAGTGCCCTGGGGACCCCACGAACACCTGCAACTCATCTGCCCCTGCCACAAATTTGGTTTCTGGCTCTTCCTCCTCCCCCCAGATTCTTCAGGCCAAGCAAGAGATGGAAATAAATATCCACAGTCTACAGCCACAGTAAAAGCTTTCCCAGTTGAATCTCTGTCCCCCTGGGTTGAGGAGGAACATCATCCTTTTGGAAACCCACAAGGCTTCCCCTTGTCCCGTGCACAGTCCTTAAAACTTCCCGGACATACTTAAATGACCAGAAGGTCTCTGAAGTCTCGCACTGAGGAATGGGAAAAAGTCGTCAGCCAAACCCACTGCAGTAGCCGGGCACTCTGCCCTGACACCTCCACCCTCCCCTTGACGCAAGGGTCCACCTCCCTCGCTGTAAAACCCAGTTACAAACTCATCAGCCACCTGTCCCCTCGGCCACCCAAATCGGCATCCGAGTAAAATAAATAACAGCTTGCCATCCCTACCGCTTAGCTTCTCTGCATAGGCCCACGGATGCCGCAGTCTTGGTCAGGGTGGTCGCACCCTGCCCTCTGCCGCCGAACATGGCTCTCCTCTCTCCATGCGCCCCCACATGGCCGGACGAGCTTGGAGGCCTGGTCCTCTGGGTGGGCCTGGAGGGAAGCCCAGGGCCGAAGGGACAGTGCGCCAGGAACTGAGGGGAAAGTACCGCACCAGGAGCGGGACCCTCAGCACCCCCGACGCCAGAGGAGCAAGGGGCCAGTGTGCAGAAGCCGGTGCCCGAGCCAACCCGGGTAGAGGCCGGTGGCCCAGCGGGCTGCGCCTCCGTCGGCCTTGGGCCCTCACATAATGCTCTCCTCGAAGGCGTCCGAGGGCCCCGCGTATGTGGCCGCCGGCTCGGAGCCAAAGCTCGTTCCGCCCGCGAACTCGAGCAGGGTGCTGCCACGCTCCCCCGGCGCGGCGCCCGGGCCCCCACCCAGCGGTCCCTTGGTGAGTGCCTCAGCCTTGGATGCCGACGCCGCCACCGCCGCTGCAGGGCCGGGCGCGCCCGCCGCACTGCGGTGCGTCTTCATGTGGGTGAGCAGGTGCGAGCTCTGCGAAAAGCGGCGGCCGCAGTTGGTGCAGGCATAGGGCCGCTCGCCCGTGTGCGTGCGCTGGTGCGTCACGAGCACCGAGCGCTGCGAGAAGCGCTTGCCGCACTCAGGGCAAGGGAAGGGCCGCTCGCCCGTGTGGCCGCGCCGGTGCTTGGCCAGGTTGGAGCGCTGCGCGAAGCCGCGGCCGCAGTCGCTGCAGCGAAAGGGCTTCTCGCCCGTGTGCGTGCGCCGATGCCGCTTAAAGTCCGAGCTGTGGCCGAAGCCCTTGCCGCAGTCGGGGCAGCGGTGCGGCTTCTCCTCGGCGTGTGCCCACTGGTGCCGCGTCAGTGCCGCGCTCTGTCCAAAGCGGCGGCCGCATTCACCGCAGGCGTAGGGCCGCTCGCCCGTGTGTGCGCGACCGTGAGCCGTCAGGTGCGCGCGCCGGCTAAAGCCTGCGCCGCACACACCGCACACGAAGGGCTTCTCGCCCGTGTGGCCGCGCACGTGCGCCGCCAGATGTGAGCCGCGGGCGAAGCGCGCGCCGCACTCGGGGCACGGGAAGGGCCGCTCGCCCGTGTGCGTGCGGCGGTGGCGCGCCAGGTGTGAGCCGTACACGAAGCTCTTGCCGCAGTCAGCGCAGCGGTGTGGCCGCTCTCCTGCATGGTAGCGCTGGTGTTTAGCCAGCGCCGCACGACGCCCAAACGTTTTGCCGCAGTCAGAGCAGATCCATGGGCTCTCCTCCTCGGCCAGCGCAGCAGGCGCCGGCTCAGCCAGCAGACCCCCAACAGCGGGCCCAAATGCACGCAGGCTGCCGCCTCCGCCCCCGGGCCCACCGCCGCCGAAAGGGTCACAGGCTAGCCCCGCACTCTCTACCAGGGAAAGCCGGCCCGCCAGCGGTCCTGGCAAGGGGCGCCCGTCGGTCGGCAGTCGCTCCCCAAAGTCCGGGAGGCCCAGGATCTGGAAACTGTCTGGGTGCAACCAAGACTTGGGGTGCACCGGAAAGTGGAAGCCGAGCGGATGTGAGGAAGGGCCTTCGCCCTCCCCGAGACCGTTGCCCAACTCGAGAAACCGCCGGCCCGTCTCAGGATCCTCCTTGCTCCCAGGGGCGCTAGTCTCCGCCACCTCTCTCACTTCAGCCTCGGCCTCGGCCTCTCCGTCCACCTCGCCAGGTTCAGATGCCTCCAGTCCCTCGGGCCCGGCCTCTGTATCCTCGGGCCCCACCGCGGGCGCCGTTTCGCAGGACTCCCGCCGAGTGCCATCACCGCCAGGCTCCATGCAGCCGCCGCCGCGCCGGTGGCGCTGGAAGTCCGCGCGCAGGCGGAAGGCCTGGCCGCAGTCGGGGCAACAGTGTGGTCGGTCGGCCGTGTGCACCGCCTGGTGCCGCGCAAGTGCCGAGCTCTGGCTGAAGCTGCGGCCACAGTGCGGGCACGGGTAGGGGCGCTCCCCCGTGTGCGTGCGCTGGTGCGTGACCAGGTAGGAGCGGCGCCCGAAGCCCGCGCCACAAAAGGCGCAGCGGTAGGGCCGCTCGCCCGTGTGTATGCGCCGATGCGTGACCAGGTGCGACTTGTAGACGAAGCGCTTGCCACAGTCCGGACACGGGAAGGGCTTCTCGCCTGTGTGCGTGCGCTGGTGGATGGCCAGATGCGAGCGATACACAAAACCCTTACCACACTCATCGCAGCCGAACGGTTTGACAGCCGCGTGGTAGCGCTGGTGCTTGGCCAGCCGGGACCGGTGTGGGAACACTTTGCCGCATACATCGCACGTGGTCTCGGGTCGCCCGGCTGGAGCTTCCACCGCAGTTGGGAACGCCCAGGGCACGAGCAGGTTCGCACCAGGTTCCCGGCCTGTCAGGAAGGGCTTCACCTCGGAGCCCTCGGCAAGGACTCCGAGGCTGCCGGGGTCAGGCTCCCACCCCTCTGGAGTCTGCGCTGAATCCGAGTCATCCGGGCCCCAAGTCCCAGGCACATCCCCCACACCATAGGCCGCTGACCACAGCCCAGGGGGCTCGTTCTCCTCCTCAGCCACCTCCGCCAGGAAGTCCTCATCATCGTCCTCCTCGTGGTCCTCTATGTCGTCAGTCCAGAACCAGGCCCCTGAAGAAGACAAAGGCAGGCCAGAAGAGAGAGGTGAGCAGAGGGGCTGACAGGAGCCCCTTGCAGGCTCCTGCCGCTGGGAGCTGTGGATTCTACTGGACCCCAAACTCTCCAAGCATGGAGCCTCAATCGGGTTGCAGACAGGCGCCTCCATTCCATGGAAGTGAGGGGCTATATGCCTCAGCACAGGGGGCAGTAAAGCCACCGCCTCCCACCCTTAGGAGAAACTTTGCAGACAGGAGAAATGAACACATGGGCGTCTCTCCTTGGAAGGTCTGCGTTCCTTTACTGTCTGGGCTATCCTCAAATGGCCTCAACTAAACCTTCTAGATCTCCAGGGCTTTTCACCCTGCAGAGGAATAGGGTTGATCTACAAAGCAGGTAATCATACCTGCAGGTTCCTGTGAGACCAGGGCCAGGCCTACAACAGGGGTCCTGTGCCCAGAAAACTAGACACCCTGGCTATTTTCCTCAAAGCTCCTTGTCTCCCAGAGAACTCCACCTCCATGGCCTGCTTGGCCAATGGCATCCAAGACTCCAGAGCCAACACAGACTGCACCAGGCAGCTAAGGACCTGCCTTTGTAAGCATCTAAGCTTTGCTGAGCATACATCTGCCTCTCGGTTCTTCTACACCAGTTTAAGGCTGGCCAACACCTAGGGTCTCCCTCCCACCCCCAGAGCAGAACCAGAAAGGGTGCCCTGGTTCAGGGAGATCTAGAGGATCCAGTAAGCTCAACCTGTTCCAGCACAGCACCAGCGTCCCCTCTAAGCTACTTCAAAGCTTGGCTTTTCCTGAGCGGCTGTGCATTTGGGAAACCATCCCAAGTTGGCTAACGCTTGGTGAGCTGCAAGCACCTTCCCAATACAGAAGGCCAATGACCCCTTGAGTTCCTGCGGCTCTGTCCCCCCACTATGCTATACCCCAACCTCTCCCTTCAGTGCAGAGTGTGGGTATGGAGGCAGGTCTGTAGGTCTTCTCATTTACAATACAGAGTGCTGATTTGCCCACCATCATGATACACCAGGGACAGAGCTAATCTGTATGGAGCAGGCACTAAGCCACACAAGGAATAGAAGGGAAACACCCAGCCCTTGGAAACCCCAGGAGTTCAGAGCACCCACATGCTGACCTCATATACACCTTGCCCTGTGTATGTCCACGTGGCCACACATGGTTCTGTAGCCACCTCAGGACCCTAATATCGGGAAGGCTTAAGTTCCTACACAGTTAGAAATCCCCTCTCCCACTCTACATGGGTCTACCACCAAGACTGGCTAGTGTCCTCCCCTGAGGGAAGGTTAGGGCCAGAAGGACTGCCTGCCCTAGCTCAGCCCTTGTTCTGTGTTGTGTAGGGTATTCTACATATATGGTGATCTGGTCACATGGAAAAAAACAGCTTAGTGCTCAGTGGAATAAAGCCAGACACAGAACTGCACAGGCATGATTTCAGCTGTGAAAAAAAAACATGTATCGTATAAAGAGAAACAAAATGGGTTACTTTATTTTTTCTTACTTTGCAATACTTTCTAAGTTTTCTATAGGCAGTAACATTATATAGTAAAAATAAAGCTTTAAATAAAAGACAAAAGTGTCCTGTTACTAAGCTGAGTTTACCTCCAACCGCAACCCTCAGCCATGAGAGAGTGATGGGACAAGCCTGGGCCCCTTGAACAGCAAGGAAGAGGCCCAGCTCCTCCCCACTGTGGAGGCTGCAGCGCCCTTAAGGGGCAGGAGGGCATAGCAGAGGGACAGGTGGTTTGGGCCAATGGTCAGATCAGCTGGGAATTCTTTCAGTCTCAGAAGTTTACCTCCTGACTCTGGAGAAGGTCTTGAGTAGGGATGCAAGCTGAGGAGCAAGAGTAACGTGAGCGTGCACCCTAGGACATAGCCAAGGGTCAGGGAGCACTTGCTGGATAAGCAGCAGACACCCAGGCCAAAAGAGGGCCCACTGGCAGGCAACCTTGGCTACTCAAGGCTGGGAAAGATGGGCCAGGTTCCAGGGGCTAGCCCATAACACCTCTTCCTTGGGGTCTGAGAGCAGGGGAAAACCCAGGCCTGGGGAAGGAGCCCTTGCCCTGTCCCTCAACCCATCAGAGCGATGGTAAGGTCTGGAGAGGGTGCCAATCCTAGGAGGGGACCTGGGGGACCTCACCAGCTATGGAGCTGGGATGGCCTCCTGTCCAGGAATGAGAAGATAGTAAACATATGGCAGGTGTTGGAGGGGGTGCCCATGTCCCTGGACAGTCAGAGCTGGTGTGTCCAAGACAAGATCTTCAGAAGCACCAAGGCTACCTGAGGTGACCCAGAGAGAGACCAGCCTGCCCCCAGCCAAACTCTGCTCTTTTCTTCTGCCAGCAAAGTGGCCCAAGATCTGGAGGTCTGGGTGGGACTGAAGTGGGGGTTACCCCAGGCTGCAGTGAGACAGGGCTTTCCAGCGTCTGTTGGCTCTCAGATCCAAAGCTGTCTTGGGTCTGAGTGAGGATTCATCAGGTCTGCTTGTGAGACCTAAGCCAGGGCAGAGAGGATACTCTGATGGGGAGAGGGGGTTCTCAACAGTGGGCCTGAGAGTTGAACAAGCTGCTTCCTCCAGAACCCTCAGGAGAATAGAGAAGTGGACCTGGGGAGTGGATCTGGCAGTTCATCTCCCTGACACATTTGCTCCTGAGGCCCCTGACCAGAAGCGATGATTAGCTAAGCAGGACCAGCACTCTAAGGTCTGATGACATCCCAGGGGGCCAACCAGAGGCCTTGTCAATAGAGCCCCCAAGGGGTCCCCAGTACGCACCCTATCCAGTGCTGACAAAGGGTCCCTTGGCTACACACCTGCATCCCTAAGCTGCTGGAAGGCAGATTATGGGATGCTCAGCATGCCCAACACATGCTGCCCTGAGAGTCGTGCCACCATTTTCTATTACTCCCACCCCCCCAGCAAGCCCTGCCCCAGTCTGGGAACCTGGAGACCTGCCCAACGTGACCTGGGCCCCACACTGAGTCAGCTGTGGGTCTGCTCTGACTAAAGCCATCCCCGCAGGGACCCAGCTACAGGCACAGGGCCTGAAGTCAGTCACTGAACCAAGTCAACACGAGCTCCCAACCCTCCATCCAGACACATGAACTGGAGGTGGGCTTTAAAAGAACTATGCCTTCAGGGACAGTTATGAAGGGAGCACATGGACCAGGGGGGCTGCCCAAAGCTACAGGCTGCTCCTTCCTCCAGGCTGGCTGCCATCAGCAGCCCTTCCTTCCCGATGAGCAGGAACTTGGTAACCAGGGGCTGTGCCCAAGTGTGGGCAGGTGGTGGTTCCCAGCAGGGCCTGGCTTCTGTGCTGAGATTAGTCTTCCCAGCCATAGGGTCCTCACACCGACATGTCTGCAAGGGGGTGGTCCTCTCTGAGGACAGGCCCTGGACCCACCCCTCTTCACTGGCAGGTGACCTCTCTGGCCCTGGACCCACCCCTCTTCACTGGCAGGTGACCTCTCTGGCCTCAGTCTCATCTGTTCCATGCAATTAATAACCAACCCCTGGGTGTGAAGAGGAAGCTGAGGCCAGTTCTTACTCACTTGGAACTGCTGGCTCATCCCTCACATACAGTTTCGGAGGAGGAAAGCACTCCCAGGCCAAGGGAGCCTCTATCACTTCTGAGCCTTGATCAGGCCCCTCCAGCCAGGCACTCACGAATCCCAGGCTCCCTGCCAGGAAGTTTCCTGACTCCATCCCCTTCTGCCCACTCCAAGCTCAGGGATCTAGGGCAGGCCAGAACCTAAGGGCCCTGTCCCTGGCTCAGACTGGGAAAGGGGGACTCAGGGATACTCAAGGCCCCCTTGGGGGCATGGAGAAGGGAAGGCCCATACTATGGACTGGTCCCTGGGCTTCTCCTGTGGACAGACCGGCCCAGTCCAGGTGCTCAAGGGCTGTGTGAGGTAGATACCACCTGCAGGCTGGCACTGGACTGGGCCGCTGCTCCTGGGTTTCTCCTCTGCAGAACCACTGTGCCTACCAACCATTGGATCCTCTCACCTTAGTGTGTTTTTACCTTGTATCACTTTTTAAACTTTATCCTTTCCTGTGTAATGTTTATGACGGTTTAATCCTACGTGTCATATTTCTCTCCTATCCTTCACTTTCCAATGAGAGGCAGGAACAGCAGCCAAAGAGACAGATCAACAGCCGGCTCCACAGGGTGCCAGGCCTGCACTAGGACTATGGAGACAAGACACTGCTCTTATGACATCTGTGGAGGGGGTGGGTAGGAAGCGAGGAAGAAGACATCTGGGCAGGATCATTTCAGACTGCGCAGAAGGCCATGAGTGTAGGCAACATCCTGGAGCAATGTGAGAGGGCGTGCTCCTGAAGTCCAAGCGCTCAGAGAACACACAACTGGTTGGTGGCGGTGGGCAGGGCTTTGTGGGGACCTAGGAGCTGAGCCAGTCACACAAAGAGTACTCTGGGCAGAGGACATAGGAAGTACAAAGGCCCTGAGGTAGGAGAGAACATGAAGAGAAAAGCTGTCCATGGCTGAGCCTGAAGAGCTAAGGGTATGTGAGAGGAGCTGGGTGTTGGAGGAAGGGGACAGTGTGTGTGGCAGACCTGAGGGCTGTGGCCGAGAGCCCAGAACTGTACCAAGTGCATGAGGAAGCTTCCAGGGGGCAAGGCAGGTGACAGCTCAGGGACACCTGTGGCCACATGCCTAATAGCCCCAAGCAGGGGTGGGACAGGGTGGGGTGAGGAAGGGAGGGCCAAGGACTACTTGGGCATGTAGCCAGGCCACTCAAGTGCCAGGGACAGGGGTAGGAGAACTGGTGCTGGCTCAGGTTCAGGTTCACTCTGAGATGCCCATCAGACACCTGAGTGGGGATGTCAAACAGACAGTTGGACAGACAAGGTCAGGGCTGAAGAGAGAAGCTGAAAATGGGCAGCATAAAAGGCATGTAATGCCTGGCACAAGTTGAGGTCAACTAGAGAGAACCAAAGAGGGCATGGGGCTGTCCTGGGGCTCAGACACAAGGAGAGCAGGTGGAAAAACAGCTGGGAAGGCAGCAGAGAAACCCAGGGCCTGTGAGGTCCTGGGAGCTGAGGGGGTCCATCTTGGAGAGCAGAAAAGCCCACCCAGCAAAGGAAACAAGGCCAAGGTGGCAGTGGTGTCCTCAGGGGGCCTGTGGTCAGCATGCAGAAACGCTTGTCTCCAGCCATGTTCCCTGCCCCAGTGTAGATGTGGAGCAGGCAGGACATGGGGTTCAGCAGGGGCAGGGGCAGGTGAATACATGGGTCTTCTGCAAGAGAAGGAGGGACCTGCCATCTAACCCAGCGAAGAGAAAGGTGGCAGGAAAGGGGTGGGGTCAGAAGAGGAGAGTGAGCTGGAGGGCAGTTGGAGCAAGGAGCTGGACAGGCGGAGTGGGAGACGCAGGGCACCAGAGTGGGAGAATTGGGCCAGAGCCCCAAGCTATGTGCTGCCCAATTTGTCAAGAAGCCCAAGAGAGGAATATGCTTATGTTTTGCAAGACTACAATCTAGAAAAACAGAAACTCTGTCAGGTGGGAACCATTATCATCTGCCCTGCCCAGACATGGCAATTCTCAATTCTCAATTGGCTCAACTGTGCAGAAAAGAACACAAGCAGAAAAGGGGAGGGAGGCCATTCAACAAACAGGCTATAGTCACATTTAAGAAGGAAGGGCGTAAATGGATCTGCTCTGCCAGAGCTCACCCCAGCCTTTCTACCACATCCCCTCCCAGCAGACAGGCAACACGTCTAAGACTGTGCCCAGATCCTGCACCACCTCGAGCTTTGCAGTCGGGGATGGGGAAGCATTCTGGGTCCACCAGCCCTGACACAGTGACTGGGAGGGAGGCAGAGCAGCACTAGCCTAGCTACCCAGCCCCCTTGGGGAGCTGCCAATCCCCAGCCAGGTCATGAGTTACACTGTTGGGACTACCCAGGCTTGAGACTGCAGCCAGCTCCACCACATCCCCTTGAGGCAGCCTGGAGGCCCTTGGCCTCCAGGTGGATTTTCTGAGATGTACCCATAAACAGGGCCGGCCCACCTCTCACTAAGACCAAGAAGCATCCCCAGAATCCCCGTCTCATCCAGGAGACAACAGTGCTCTTTCTCGCCAGCCAGAGCCCTCCCAGCTCTGAAGCCCAGGGAAGATTCCAAGGGGGCCTGCATAAGGAGACTCAACAGGCCCACCCTGCTTTTTCACAGGTTTGTTACAATGATAATTAAGATGCATACAGAAAATACTTCGAAGAGCACAGCACTGTCTGTGTTTTTCTGTAGTTTTATTCTGAAACATATCTATGAGCTGCTCATAGGTCTATCTGGGCACATGGGTGGCATGATACACGCCCCTTGCTAGACTGGCATCACTCTAGCCCAAAGCCAAATATACCCACTGTACAAGGGCTTCCACCAAACCCCCTGAAACTCTGAGCATCACTCATAGGTCTCCATGAAGCACATCCAGAGAGCCAACCCCCTGACGTCCTCAGGTTGGAAACTACAGATTTCATTCAAATTCTTTATTCTCTAGATGAGTAAATTGAGGCTCAGAGGAGGCACAAAGCCAGAGCCAGGCCCAAGGTCTCTGGACAGATTTGCACCCTGACACTTCCTGTATGCATCTCTCCAAAATCTCCTCGCTGGAAGGTCCAGAACCACATAGCCAAGCCAGAGGCCTACTCCCTGGACCTTCCAGGGGGAGAGGGCAGGCTGAGGGGAACCCCTTGTTCAGAGATGGCCATTGGGTGTAGAAACCAGAGGACCAACTCAAGTCTGGGAACCAAAAAGGCCAGCTCCAGCCCTCCCAGGACCCACAGTCTGCTCTACTCCTGTGTACAGCCTTCTGGCCCAACACCCTGACAACTGGCCTTCACTTCCGAAACACAAGCAGAGGCTCCAAGACAGGGATGCAATCATTTTTAAAGGCTCCTGAGAGGAATTTCCAGGTCCTCTGAGGATTCCCTGGCCCTCGGGCCTCCATGCACTGAAACCAGGAGGAGCCAACCCACAGAAGCAGAGGCGAGCCCGTGGTGCCATCTGCATGGAGCCCATGTTGACAGCCCAGGACACCAGTACAGAGGCGCAGCAAAAGGGTAAGGTGAAGGGCAAAGTCTGGCAAAGCTCCAAGGAGCTGTGTCTGCAGAAACCCCATGAGATTCTGTCCCATGCTCACCTGTGTAGACACCAGTGACAATGTCTCCCTCCTCAGGACGGGGGCTATCTGGGACCCAAGGTTCCTCTCCTCTCTCGAGTCGGAAGATCAGATCTGGCTTGGGGATGGGGTATCCTGGCCAAGAGAAGAGCAGATGGCTGCTACAGGGCCACCCCAGCAGCCCCTCCCTCAGCTCCCCTCCACTCTTCTCCTGCCTCTAGTACCACCCTCCCACCTCCCAGCCTCCACTCTAGGAAATTTCACATCCCTGCTTTCAGAGCCTTGCTGATCCCTCCAGCCCTCCTGCTGAGCCCCTCCACACACCTTCATCTACAGGATGCCTGCCCTTCCCCTCCACCACTTGATACCTCACCTCCACAGCCTCTGGGGATTGTACAGAACAGAGACTAGGGCTGGGCTGGCAGCTCCCCAGGATGCGTCCACTGGCTTCACAGTGCTGCTCAACCACAGCGGAAGCACTGGGATATGCCCCATTCAGAAGCCAGGGTGGTCCCTAGGGCTTCCTCTGGACATGGGCTGGCTCCATCACCCCCTTCCCCAAGATGCTCCAGCAGCCACCCTCTCAGACAGCTAAGCACATAGCAGCCATTGCACCAGGATGCCTCTTGGGAACAAAAGGCTCTCTTCTTACCCAAGGACACCAGGATCCCATAGTTCTCCTGCATGACCTCCTTGTAAAGGTCCCGCTGGTTTGTGTCTAGCCTTTCCCACTCCTCCAGAGAGAAGTACACAGCCACATCTTCAAAGGTCACCAGTCCCTAGAAAACAAAGAACCCTGACCACTGCCCTAAGCTTGCCCACCTGAGTGCTAGGGAAGCCCCCAAAAAGAAAGCAACGGAAGCCGGCTTCAAGGAGAACTAACCTCGGCCCTGCAACATGGAGCTCACAGGAACACACCCAACACCCCATTACTGGCAGGCCCACAAATGCCAGAGAGTACTGAGGGCTTCTAGGCCTTGCCACAGCCCTGAGAAGCAGGGACCCCACTCCCATGCAGAGATTAGAAACCCAGGCTCAGAGAGGTCAGATGCCACAGCAGGAGAAAATGAAGCTCAAGTTTCCAGAGCCGCACTCTGAGGCCATCTCCTCTCCCTCCTACTTCACTCTCTGGCTCAAACCACAGGTTATACCAGCAGTGTGCAAACCCAGGCCTGGGTGACAAGCAGCACCATCTAGTCGGAGTGTGGACACTGGTGCCCAAGCTGGCTCAGCCAGAAACTAGAGCCTGCACAGGTAACAGGAACTCCAGGTAAGGGGCACAGCCCAGCCTGGGGGAGAGCCAGGCCTCTGTAGGAACTGTGCACACAGCAGCTACGTACGCAGCAGTCAACACAATCAGGACATTTCAATAGTCTGGGAAGGTCGGACCCCAGGAAAACAGGACTGCCTCCCATGTAGATGCCCAGCCGCCTCCTGCTGCACCATCCCAGTCACAGCCTGGACTCAGCCTGAGCACCAGTGCTGCTGCCCTGCCAGCAGAGGTCTCCAGAACAGCAGGTGCCAAGACTCAGGGAAAACCCTGCCTAGTTAACTAAGCTCCAAACAAGAAGGCAGCTCACCTGAGACCCAGCTGTCAGGGAATCGGCATCATCTTCCTCGTCGTCTTCCTCCTCCTCCTGTTCCTCCTCCTCCTCCTCCTCCAGGTCCTCATCCCTAAGTACGGCTGGAACCTGAGGGGCCTGCATGGCTGAGAGGAAAGATGCCATAGGGGCCAGCCAACTTTAGCACCCAGCTAGCAGGATCAGGAGCTCCTGGCTACTCCATTTCCAAACAGGGCCCAGTGCTCCGGCTCCACCCTACTGAGCCAAAGAGCTCTCCCAGGCAGCCCACCCAAGCCCCCTTCCTTCCTTCCCAAGGGCTAGCTCCTCTCGTACCCTTGTCCTGGAGAACTGAGGCCTTGGCATCACCACCACGGCTAAGGCACTCCTGGGTCCCCAATTCCAGACTCTGCTCCTCAGCCACCACTTCCTCCACAGTCTCGTCCTCCTCCAACTCCACCTCCACCTGCTCCACATGCCCTGCCTCCTCCTCCTCCGGCTCTTCCTCGTCTTCCTCTTCCACTACTATCTCCTCCTCCTCTTCTTCCTCTATCTCTGCCTCTTCACCCTTCTCCTCCTCCTCATCTTCCGGATCAGGATCACATTCCAGCCCATCCTCTGCCCTCTCCAGTTGGCTGGCTGGGGAGTCTGGAGTCGTGTGAAGGGCTGCCATCTTCTCTGGACACAAGCCTCAGCTCAGCCTGGAAAAATCAGATGATGATGGTGAGCTATCCCTAGCATGCTCCCACAGGTCTCTGCACAGGCCCCACACAAGCCCCATGGGTGGCAAGACTTCCCCCCTTACATAATGCCACCAGAGTTGAGGGAGGACTAGGGCTCTCCCACAATCTTATGCAGTGCAACCGGGACATTCTGTGCCCAAGGAGCCCCTCTCTGTGACCCTGTTGTGTGGTCTCAGTGCTTCCCTGACAGCAATTACACACTGGCTATGAACTGCTGCACTTTCTTGGATTCAATCAGGGATTCATCCCAGATCTCTCTATCCTCGAGGACCACGAGAAGCATTGAGTCAAAGCAACACAGCTCAAGGGTAGCCTGCATTTCACTCAAAGGTGTGAGTGTAGCCTGCAAGGAACAGTCCATGTGATATACAGAAGATGCTCACCCAGCTCTCAATACCCACGAACTCGGCGGCAGGGAGGGAATCTTGGGGAGGTCTAAGCATGCCCAGCTCAGTGGGGCAGGGGGCAGGGAAGTGGTGAAAGTTTAGACTGGAGTGTCCATTCACTGCCAGGGGTTCTGCTCTGGACAGTCAGTGGGGTCAGGCTCCTTCCTGCAAGAAGAAGTAGAGAAGAGGTCCTGAGTATGCCTTACCCTCTGCATCTCCCCCGCCCCTTGCTCCAGCTAGGGCATTGGAAAAAGATCAGAGGATCATGGACATTTGGTTCATTGCTAGGCCAGCAAAGGTGATATAGAGTACCCCATGACATCTCAAGTTTGGGGATCAGAGAATTATCAAAGCCCCCGTGGCTTCCAGGGTCCTTTTCTCACACCAGTGCTACAGCCAGCTCAGCCCAGGCCCTGAGGAGAGACAAGGCCATGCTGCTGTGTGGCCCACCATCCTGGCTATGTGTCCTTTATGGGCCCCGATGGGAATCCCAGAGGCAGGACAGAGTCACTGTTTTGACAAACCAGTTTCTGTGGCTCCTTTTTAAATATAAACCTCAAAATGGGTCTGCTACCCAGCACCTGCTTCATCAGAGTCTCAGACCTGAATAAGGCCATTTCCAAAGTGAGCCAAGTCCACTGCCAAAACAGATTCTGAGATGAATGCATGGACCCCAGAAGGACCCTGAAATGTCAGGCCAAATGGAGCAATTAGGGCTGCCCCTGCTCATCCAGCTCTACCAGTAGACAGCATCTGCCACAGACCCCTAAGGCAGGACAAGGGCAACCTACATAAAGATACCCAGGATCACAAGAACAATTCAGATCACTGTGCACGTATGACAAAACCTCTGATTAGCTCTTCCTCCACAACACATCATTTTTCTATGAATAACGTAGTGTGTGCTCACTTTCCAAACTGCCTTGAGCTGCTGCTTTAGAATCCAAAATTAAATAACTAGGGAACTTGGAGCATTCCTGCACATCTTCCCAGAGACCAAGGCCCAGTCCAGAGCTGGGAACATGGACACTGAGAAGTCACCTCTGTCCCAACCCGTGCACTCCCCTCTGGGAACTCTAGCCCCATTCTAGATTCACAATTTGAACCTGAGGTAGGCTACCCAGCCTCCAGCTTCTCCCAGAATCCGACCTCTCTGGTCTCCATGGCTCTTTGGGCATATGAAGGTGTGCTGTGTGTTACCTGGACACCTCCAGGATGATGTAGCCCTGCCCAGCACTTGGGGCACTGGGAATGTTTACCAGAGTTTCCCAACCACCAGCCACCTCGGGCCCAGAGGAAGGCTTTTCTCACTCAGGCCTCAAACTGCAAATTCTGGCTGAGCCCAGACACAATGCCAAGCCCAGCAGAACTGTCTCCTGCCTGGCCACCTCCCAGAGCAGACTTCCACAGGCAGGCCACCATATCAATGGACCACAGAAAAGAAAACTCCATGGCTTTGGAATAAGGTAACCTTGTGCTTGTCCCACCTCAGGAACTTTGCATGTGCCATTCCTTCTACTTGGAACTCTCTCCTTTCTTTTTTGCTGCTCCTCTGGAGGCAGCCACCAGGCCCTATTTAGTTCCCTAGAATCTGCAATCACAGCACCCACATTTTTAATACATTTACCAAGTTATCTGCTTACTGCCTGCCTCCCTAAGTACAGTGTCTCCAAGAAGGCAAAAGTTCCCTTTTCTCATCTCTGAATCCTCCCCGTGCCAGAAGCAGAGTGAGCACTCAAATGTTTGTTGAAGAAATAACTCTAAAATCTGTAGCCAATTTGATTAACAGGTTTTTTAAATTTAGTATTCTGGCCACAGTGTCACATTCCAGAAGAGACTGATCACTGTTTAGGGTCCTTCAAACTGGAACCTGCCCCATCATAAGTACTGGAGAGTCTGCCTCCAAAGAGGCTGTGGCTCCCTTTTCCCAAAAACATGCAGCTGCTGGTGAGCAGAGAATGGAAAGCCCAGTAACAGTGGGGGCAATCACCCTACAGATAGGACCCGGGCCTAGCACAGCTAGATACAACATATACCCCAATGTAGAATCCAAAACAAAATGGTTCTAAAAAATGGGCCTCAGAAACTCCGGCCCTGGGTTATTTCTACCTATACAGGCCAGCTGTGTGCTGAGCACGTACTCCCCAACTCACACATTTCCTTCTCTTTCAGCCTGCCAGCTCACTGGAAACTCACTTTGCTCACTTCCTGGCATTTGATTCCCGGTCAGAAGCCACAGAGGATCAGGTAAGCAGCCTCATCATAAACCCCCAGGGTCATCACAAACCCTTATTTCCACTGGGGCCCTGCACTTTGGACACAGTGCTGTAGACATTTAGAACTGGGAGAGATAGGACACCCTCTGCAGGAAGAAGGGAGGACCATAAGACAGGAAGAAGTGGAAAAGTCTGAACAGTTAGAGACTCTCTGCCAAAGTACAAAATTCAGGAAACATACATAAAGAAGTAGGAGAAACGTGTGCGTGCACATTATCCAGGCCCCATCCCTCCCTCTGGGGGTCTCCCTGACCACACTCCTGCCATTCAAGGTCTTCCAGGTGTTCATCTCCTTCAGGAAGCCTGACCACCAGGGTCCTCACGGTTTGTCCACAGATTTGGGCTTGCCCGCTCTCTTCTGTGTTTGCTCTGGGCACAGGTGTATCCATGGGGCCATCCCAGCTCCCTGAGGGCAGCCTCCTCACCACGCTGGCCAGCTTCTCAGACCTGCCAACACTTGTTGGCCCAAACGAAGTACCGAGGTCTTCCTACACAGGCGCAGCTAAGGTCCTGATCCTCCGCTGCCCACCCACCGTGTCCTCCACAAAAGACCAGTCCCTCTCCCAATTCTGCGGCCACATGGGGCAGCTCCAACTCACCCAACCCCAGGGATGGGTTACCCTATCCGCCTACCGGCAGCAGAAGACAGCGAAGCAGCCCACTGGAGCCTCCATTTGCAGACGAAGGGGGACCCAGACAAGGACCCAAAGTCACTAATCAAGCTAGCGGGGGCGCCAGGCCAAGCCCCCTTCCATCCCTCCAGGGGACTTCTCCGGCCTCCGCCGCCCTCAGAGGCCCTGGCGGTGACAGCCCCTCCGGAATGGGTGTGTCCCCGGGGGCGGCCGCGGCCCAACCCCCTCCCCTCCGGCCTAGACGGCGGCGGGCGCCTCCCGAGGAGTGTCGCGTGTCCTCCCCACACGCCTACTCCGCGCGGCCGGCTGGACCGGCCCTGGGTCGGTGCCTTCGCCACCGCGCCGCCGGGCGGGGGTCCGCGGGCTGCGCCGGGCGTGGGCGAGGCGCCGAGGGTCCGGCAGACGCGCCGCTCCGACCCCGCCAGGCCCAGGCCCGGCCTCACGGCCCCACGGCCTCCTGCCCGGTGTCGGGGGACGCGGACCCTGACCCACGCTGCGTTCGACCCCGCACCTGCCGGCCGCGCCGCCGCCGCTGGCCCCGCCACCCACTCACCGCGCGAGCTGGGCGGACGCCGGGGCCGGGCCTGCGCGCCCCGCGCTACACAAAGTGACGGCCCCTGAGCTGCGCGGCGGCGGCGCGTGGGCACCGGAAGTGCCGCCGCCGCCGCCGGGCCCCGCCCTCGCCCACGAGGGGCCACTTCCGGTCACGCGGGGTCGAGCGTGGCTCTTACAGGGGGTGTGCGTGGAGGGAGCGGGGAGCCCCGCCCCGGGGCCCCGCCCCGGAGCCCCGGAGCCCCGGCGCCCCCTGGGCACCCCGGCGCCACCGCTTGACCTCGAGGCCCCAGCAGCATCTCCTGGGGTCCTCGGCACTCCCCGTCCTGACCCCAGGCCCTGGCCGCACCCATGGGGCCCCGACGCCATCACCCCACTGGTCCCGAGGTCCCAGCAGCAACCCTGGACACCTCGGCGCTCCCCCGCCCCGCGACCCTGGCCCCACCCCTGGAAATCCTGGTCCTACCCCTGGGCAACTCCCACACACACACACACCCCGCCCCCACCGCTCCCCTCCTCCGCCCTACCTTTGAACACCGGGCCATTCTTGCCTCTGGAGTAGTTTTGAGGTCCAGAAGCTCCGACAGCATCCCCTTCCCAAACCGATCCCACTTTGTCATTCAACCATGATTTAGGCCTACTAAGTGCCAAACCCACGATAGGCCCACCCGGGCCACCCCTACCCAGTGGAGCGAGCAGTGACCCCTATGATGGGGGGTTGAGGGTCCCCAGAGGAGTCCCTCCGGTTTGCTGTCAGAACGGGATGTGGTCTTGGGCAGGGGCGATCCCTTGCTGGTTAATGGGCCAGTGGCCTGAGGCAGGCGGGCCAGGTGCTCACTACTCACCAGCCCCATTTCCGGGGCCACTAGTGCATGAAAGGCCAACGCTCAGTAAACTGAGTGTGTGTGGTGGAGGTACTCAGAATGGTAGAAGACGAGGACTGAGGGGGCCTTGGCAGCTGAATGAATGCAGTAAAAGTATTGACAGGAGGCTTCACCTGGAGGGACTTGTGATCACGACCACGGGGAGGGCCACCTCTGAGAAGGGAAAGCTCTTCCAAGCAGAAGGAGGTAGAAGCTATAGGTGGCCTTAGAAGCTGTGAGAAGGTGAGAACTGGATTCAGAGGCCAACCGAAGCCCTACCCAAACCTGTCTGCATCCACTCCCAGGAGATGCAGCTGGGGCCTGATGGTGACCTCTTGTCCCCACAGAGGTCGGGGCCCCTTTCCAGCCTGGCTTGCAGCTACAGTCAGAAATGGTGTGGCCCTGCTTCCTCTCCAGCTCCCACCCAATGGGCACTGTTATTCTTATATCTTGGACCTTCAAGACAGGATAGCACCTGACTAGGCTCCCAGCAGGCTTACACCTGCCTGAAATAACAGGTTGCGCCTGCCGGAAACCCAGCCCCTGGCCATCAGCCACTCAGGCCAGGGAAGACTCTCACCTCTGTTCCACAGCAGGGTGCAGCCTTCCTGAGCCCAAAGCACCAGCTGCCCAGCCTCCAGCTGAACCTAACTCCTCACAATGATTGTGTCTGGCTCCTGGTGTTTTCTTTTTAATGTCTTAAAATTAATAACTTACACTTAAAAATTGAAGGTCTCTTGTAAAAAGATGGAAAGAATCATAAATTCTGCCAACACAGAGCCCATGGTTTGCAGGGCATTGGCCAGGGGCCCTGAGAAGTGACCAGCCGCATGGATGAGGTTGGGCCTTGACATTCTCAATACCCGCTTCCATATGGTGCCACCTGCCTGATCCTGTGGTTCTCTCCGCTTTGGTTATGCACAGGTAAATCCATCCCTGGTGTAGAACCTGTCATCTTGTCAGGCAGGGACCATGCATCATGCCCTACCTCCTCAGATCTCTTGGCCTGTTCTTACCTGATACCTAGCCCAAGACCTGATTTCTTCCCCTTCCTTCTCTGCAGAGATGTTCAAACACATGGAGTACACCAGTCTCAATCAGCTCAGCAGGCCCTGCCCTCCATGAGGGCTCCTCCCTGCCCAAGGCTGCCATCCTCCAGAGGCTGAAGAAAAAAGCTGTGCCCCTGGCCCCTCAGTTTCCTTCCCTCCCTGAGAGTCCCCCCATTGTCCCCAGGGCCCCTCCTTCCTCCTGCCCCATGACAGGAAGTCCCCAAAGCCCCCCACCCTGGAACTAAGTGATGCAGCCACACAGAAGCCCCACAGTCTGTCCAGTTCAGTGTGTCCCGGGTCAAAGTTAGGCTTGGAACACTCCCCTGAGGTGACCCACACCTGTGACTTCAGAAGCAAGGTGTGCTCAATAGACTGCCCACTAGTCTGTGAAATGAAACTAAACCCCTGTGTTTATTTTATAGTCAAATAAATATAATTCTCCACTCTTATGACCCCACTTGACCCCATTCCTTCTAGGTCAGTTTTCCACTGAACCCAGATTGGAGCTTTGGTGCAGGCCTTGCCACCCACCTCAGAATAGCTGAGCCTCTGCAAATGACCCTCTCCTGGGTCTGACTCAGGGTAGTGCTAGGCTGTCCCAAATGGGCCACACTTGGGCCTCTGGTGTCCTGAAGTCACTTGGCCTTGACCTTCCCAACCACCGAAGTCCAGAGTGGCCCGCACAGGCTGGCTGCCCAGGGGCCTGTACGCAGGGGCCTATACACAGGGGCCCCAGGCATGACCATGAGGCAGAGGCAGGGTCCCAGCCAGGTGACCTCTCTTTGCATGGGTGCTGGGGAGCAGGAGACCCAGCCCCTAGCCTGCCTGCCTCCTTTCCTCCCCTTTACTCCACTGTGAGGCTCTGCTGTCTGGGTTTCATGGATCTCATTGTCCTGGCCAGTCCTGGCGGTGGGCCTTCTCTGGTCACCCCTTCCTGTGGGTTCTCAGGCCCCCTGTGGCATCCTGAGGCCCTGTTGTCCAGTTGGTGGGGAGGGTGGGGGAGAGGGAGGCCTCCACATGGCCCCCGTGGCTCACCAGGTCCTAAGAATCTGTGTAAAAGGAGTTGAGACACTGATGGGGGCAGAAGGGCTGTAGATTGAGGAAGGAAAGCTGATGGAGTGGGGGTGGGTTGTCCCCGGGCTGTAGGGGAACAGAGGTTAGTGGTGGTGGGGACCGGCAAGAACAAAATCAAGGGCACCTGTGTCCCCAGGGCAGCCTGTGCTGACCAAACACAGGAGTCCAGGCTCAGCTAAGGAACTGCCCCGCCCACTGGGAGACACCACTTAGGGCCGGCTGAATTCACCATGGGGCCTGTGAGAGCCCAAAATTACAATCCTGCCTGGCAGTGACAGAGCCCTTTGATAATAGTTATGAATGTAGACAAGACATTGGTATTCCATGTTAAGGATGCATAGGAATCCAGAGGGTATTTGATGCCATTTTTTGATATGATGGGCTGGGGTCTAGACCTGCCCCCTTCTGCCAACTGCCTGCCTTTGCGGGGCAGCTAGTGGGCCAGAAACACAGGGAATATTAGAGGAGGGGAGCCCTCTGCCCACAGGAGGCGGTGATGGAAGGGTGGGCGGGCCTATTATCAGGGGCTGGTGCACCCCCTACCTAGCTGCCTATGAGGTGGAAGGGGGTGGAGAGCATGGTTGGCAGTGTGTCCTGAGACCAAGGCCTGCCTGGGCCTGTGCACTCTGAGAGGGCAGGAAGCAGCAAGGACAAGAAAAACCAAAACCCAAACTGAACTTTGCTGCTGGGTGCAGCCTGACTGACCTGTGAGTCAGCAGCTCTTTTCCAGTAGGGGTTGGGAAGGGTCTGGCTAGGTGGGCTGGACAGAGGGGAAGCAGCGGCTCCTGCCAGACGCAAGAGCTCACCCCAGCTGGAGCTCCTCCTGCACTATGCTACCTAGCTGGTCTGCAGGGGGAGAGCAGTGAGGGACCCCCAGGCCTGGAGGAAGGCAAGTCTCAAAGTCCCAACAGTGAGGTGCAGTGGAGAGCTGTGGGCCAGGAGCTGAGGGAGTTGGGACAGGTGGTATTTCACACCTGAGATGGCCAGACACTGTGCTGCAGTGGGACACAGGAGACCTGGCCTAAGCAGGAGCCTGGAGGAGGGGAGCTTGGCAAGTCACCAAGCAGGGCCATCCTGTGGGGAGCCTCACATCTTACTAGGGGCTCCATGGCTGCAAGCAGCTGCCCAAGGCATCAGGCAGGGGGTGATTTACCAAAATGGATGGGGCCCTGGCAGGGGTCCAGGTGGGTGACACGTTGCTGTCCAAAGGCTGTTGAGATCCCCAGGTGGAAAGTGACAAGGCTTTCACTTTCCAAATGTCGAAGTCTCTTCGGGCTGCTGCAGCAAAGATACCACAGACTGAGCAGCTTAAACAACAATTTATTTCTCACAGTTCTGAAGGCTGGGGAAGTCCAAGATCAAATTGCCAGCAGATTCAGGGTCTGGGGAGAACCCACTTGCTAGTTCATAGCTGGCGCCTTCTCACTGGACCCGGATAACATGGAAAGGGTGAAGGTTCTCTCTGGAGTCCCCTTTATAAGACATTAATCCCATTGGTGGAGGCTCCACCCGCATGACTGAATCATCTCCCAAATGCTCCCTTCTAATGCCGCCACCCTGGGGATTAGGTTTCAGCATGTGAATTGTGGGGGACACCACATTCAATCCATAGCACAGGGTGGCACAGTTCAGCTGTGGAAGGGGCATTGCAGGGGGGCCTGATCACTTTGGGAACATCCCTTGGTCCATTGGTCCTCGACATCATGCGAAGGACTGAGCCATCGTCCTTCTGGGGAAGCCTCTCCCTGCCTCAGCCCCTCAATTGCCTGCACCTGCCCATCATGGGAGACCCCCGCCCACCCCCCCACCCCACCTCAGGTGTTGAACAGCAGGCAGGGAAAGAGGGTCTGCTGAGCCAATGGAGACAAGGCCAGCAGGGACAATGAGGACAGCAAGGCCCAGAAAGAGGGGGTGGGAGCAGACAGTGAGGACAAAAAAGTGCCCACCAAATGGGAGCAGAGGGTCGAGTCCAGGCCCCTGCAACAAAGCAGAAA